ATAGATAGATAGATAGATAGATAGATAGATAGATAGATAGATAGATAAGATAGATAAGATAGATAAGATAGATAAGATAGATAAGATAGATAGATAGATAGATAGATAGATAGATAGATAGATAGACAGACATATATATTGGTATATAAGGCCATATTGTTTTTACTCATCTGTGCACATGTGTTCATGTATTTGTCTGCTACCAAATATCATGAACCGCTGGACACATTTTAATTAAACTCTCATGAAAGTAACCACTGGATGAACATCTATTACTAGTTAAAATTACTACAAATTTTTGGTGCTATATCATTTTGGATCAATCTGATTCAATATGGCCACCACAGCTAATCAGCTTTAGACAGAACAAAAATAGCTATAATTCAATTTAACAGATATTGAGCCATTTCAAGAGGTAGCAGCCAAAACAGCTGCACTCCATTACTTATCAACACAAAGTAATCTTGTTTTAAAACTCTGGCAGGAAAGGTAGCGGCGATATTTGTTCCTTCAAGGAATGCTGGGTATTATTTTTGGGTACAATTTGTGATTCTGTACTTTTATTGCTGTCAAAGTTTGAAAACTGAGTTACGCAGGATCTGGAAAAGAAACAGGCAGAATTTATCAAAATACAGCAGCTTTTCTTTTAAGCACACAAGCATGAACACAAATTCAACAATGCTGATGAAGCCTACCGGATCGAAGGTGAAACATTTCAGCACAAAAAAAAAAGAAACTGTCCAGATGACCTGACTGAAAAATGTTGGATTGTATACCTGGATTATTGAGCATGGATTTTGTTGTTTTGAACCAGTTTGACATGACTGTCGACGAGGAAGAGGGCAGGAAGCAGAGGAGGGGGCGTGCCAAAGACACCATCTTAGCACCAACATAACTGGTTTGTTCCACTTTGGAGTAAGCTGTTGGGGAAAGAATCAGTTTTGTTGTGTGTTTCCTTGACGGATGAAGCCTTCCGGATGGAAGCTGAAATGTTTCAGCACAAAAAAAAAAAAAAGAAACTGTCCAGATGACCTGACTGAAAAATGTTGGATCAACAATACTGGGTTTTTTTCTTATAGGTTTTCTCTGTTTATCGGATTTATCCATCAAAAAATACCTCCTTAGGTGAAACAGAGTGAAAAGGCTGGCACCTAGCTGAAGTTTTGTGTTAGACTTTCTCGGGCCTAAAATCTAAGCCAAATTACTGTATAAAGCACAAGATTGGATATTTTTTCTCAGGCCGCTTAAACTGCAATAAATCAAAAATATCTGTGATTTGTGATGAAGACAGTTAAAAAGGTGTTCATTTTAAATTAAAACAGCCATTCTCAATAATTCAAATGTATATATTTTTATTTATTTTTGTGTTAAAGCCACACATTTTCTAGAAGCTCATCCGAACATAAACGGCTGCAGAAAACGGCACAAACGATATCAGAGACGAGAATAACATCAGCTCAACACTCACATGTGGGTGACAGCCACCATCCAGCGCAGAAAGAGGAAATCTGTGTCAGTGGTTGTCATCTTCTCTGCCATCCTCTGCTCTCCATCCTGCTCAGATCACAGAACAGAGGTTCTTTCTGGTGCCCGAAGCTCCTCGATCCTTGCTGTGTGACCACATTATCCCAGTGTGTGTCTGTCCTTCATGAGAGGAGAGGAGGCAGCGATGGCAGTCTGAAGGCCTTCTCTACACATATGCAGTGTCTACCCAAGTCCAGAAGATGGCAACCTCTCAGCAGTTTTGATGATGTAATTTCCTGTATTCAAGCCCATCTCCTACTGTTTTATACAGATTTTAAATGAAAAACAGCAGCATGGAGCTGTTACTGCCATCTAGAGCTCGCTATGTGAAGGATACTGCAGGTAGGTGATTATAGCACGAGGTAATAATGAACCAAATTAAGATTGTAACAAATTAAAGCATATATGTGATATAGGTCCCTGAATGCAACAACAGGTTGAATTTTATTTTTCTCAGAAAGTTTTAAAGCCATTGATCAAGTTAGTGGGAAATAACTATGGAGCATCTGAATCAGAATGGGTGTGGGGAGTGTGTGTGTGTGTGTGTGTGGTGGTGGTGGTGGGGGGTGGGGGGGGTGAACATTTTATTTTCACAATTTCAAGTCATACATGTCAATTCCCTGTGAATCTCAGATAAACCAGGAGACATGTTTTCATCCTGATGAGGTTGAGGTTGCTCTTTATTGTCATTCGCATCACATGTGGTACATGAGGTGGAACGAAATTGTGTACACAAGGTCCCAGTTACACCCAAAACTAGCAAAAATATAAAGTGTAAAAATAAACTGTATACAAGGATCTAAGATATATAATGTAATGTAATACGATGTATTAAACAGCAGCCTGAACATGAGTCTGTTGTGAGCAGATGAATACATCAGCTTAAGGTAAGAGATCAGCATCATGGAAAATCAGCAGCATAGATAAAGTGATAAATCTCCAATTAAAGTGGCATTACAGTGATTTTTCGGGTTAGGGATTTATGAGTGTACTCTATGAGCTTCAGGGTAGAAGCTGTTTCTTGTTCATTGTAGTTTTTTGCTTTATAGTTTTTTTATTTGCTGAATTGTTTTTTTAATCAAACTGCTTTTGCATGTTATTTTTATCATTCATATATCAAAATGTTCAATCAAAAATATTTATGACTTATAGCAATTGTAAAATTTTATACATTTAACTTTAAGTACGTGGGCAGCTTTGTTAATATAGCTACCGCTTCTCAGCGAGCAGGTCGCCGGTTCAAATCCTGGCCGGGGGCCTTTCAGAGTGAAGTGTGTATGTTCTCTCCGTGCATGCGTGGGTTTTCTCTGGGTACTCCTCCCACAGACCAAAAACATGCATGTTAGGCTGATTGGTAATTCTAAATTGTCCCTAGTGTTGTTTGTCTCTGTGTGTCCCTGTGATGGACTGGAGACCTGTCCTGGGTGTATCCCGCCTCTTTCACAGTGACTGCTGGATATGGGCACCAGTGACCCCCACGACCCGAAAAGGAAGAAACGAGTAAATATAATAGATAGATGGAACTTTAAGTACAAAAAAATCCTTATTTAAATACATGAAATCTTTCCGAAAGTTTAAACAAAACATTGTGAAATCTGCTTCAAATACATGCTATATGTTTGTCTTTTCCTATTTTAACCTATAATTAGGCAAATCTTGGCCTTTTTGATACATAATAATAATGTGTTTGTTATGTGTTGTCATCATTATTCCCATGCGGAGCGATTGGGGAGGTGGGGCAGTGGGTGGCTGTTGGGGCGCCCGGGGCAAGGAGCAGATGGAGTGTGCTGCTCAGAGACACCACAAGATGTGCAATGACTGGGGATCGAGCCTGGGACTTTCGGGTCCCGGGTCGGCTGCCCTGCCTCTATCCCATCTCGGTCTCCATGTAACTTTTAACTATTGCTAATTTTAACTTTAACCTACAACTTTGATTTTTAATATTTAGCTACAGTTCTGCTAATTCTAGCTGTGAACTGTTTTACCACTTTTAGCTAATAACCTTTTGCTAATTTTACCTTCCAGTCTGATACTTTTACCAAAACTAGTGTTTTACTTTTAATTTCAAGTTAGTTTTTTAAACTTTTAGGTAATTTATTGCAACTTTTTTCTTTTAGTTAGCCTCTTTTTAGCTTGGCTTTTACTATAAATAAAGTATAAAATTTAAAATTACTACTTGAAATGAGAACAGAAATAAAAGGCAACAGACATTTTGACATATTTTATGGCACATTGCATGACTTTAATAAAGTGCAGATCAATGTGTGTAACTCTTTCAGAGCCAGAAGCTGACACATGACTGGTGATGTGAAAAAAAAACCCAGTTGCTTTAACAGTGTGGTGAACGTGTTTATTGATGGAGAGACAAGGCTAAAGCAGTTGTGTTAAAATGAGAAGGCGTCTTATCTGAACCGCTCATCTGTTATATTTGACCCCAGTCCTTGCACGCTGCAATGTCTCCAAGATGAATCCATTAAAATATCTATAGGTCTAAGAACTCTAACTCTACAAATATAACTAGAAAAATAACTAACTTTCTGGAATCTACAGAGATTTATGTGGTTAAATTGATCAGATGTTGGTCCTCCTTCGTCACAGAGAAGTTTCTCCTTCCCCTGCTCCCATGTCCACCCTCCTGTGGACTCTGCTGTCCTCTATGTCCTCCCACTCATCCTCGCTCCTCTCCTCTTCCTGTGCTCTCATTGGCTGGCCCAAACGAAGGAGGCGGTACCTAAGTGGCACTAAGAAGAGGGCAGGGTCAGGCATGGGGTGTGGCCTCTGTGGTGATGTCACTCTCTCCTGCGGGATACATGCTCTCACCCTCTCCTCCCTCAGGCTGACCTGCCTCCTGTGTCTTAACTCTGACTCATCAGAGGAGGCAGCAGGAAGTGGAGAAAAGAGCCAATCTGAGCCTCCATCTTCCTCGTCTTCATCATCATCATCATCATCATCATCATCCCCTTCATCCTCCTTTCCTCCGACTTCTTGTTCTGTTTCTGCAACCGAACCTGCACTCTGGCACCGCTGGAAAAGTTTTAACCGCGCAGCGTGAAGTTCATGGTGGAGTGTCGTCGTTACAACGTTCTGGTGTTGAAGTTCTCGATTCAGCAGGGTAATCTTGTGACTGCGACGCTTCAGCTCCTCCAAGAAATGTCGTTCTTCCTCCCTGAGGCTCCTCCCGAGTGCAAAAGCTCGTGCCCGGCCTGCTCGCAGCTCCCCACGCACAGCGACCATCATGCACTGCTGGCGCTCCAGGAGGCGCTCTGCAGCATCGCAGCGTGCCGCCAGTTCCGCTTCCTCCTCTGAGAGACACAAATAAAAGCATCTGTAGTGTGCACTGAAGGGTTAACGCTTGTGACACCGTCTAAGAGAAGACAAACCTGGAAAGTGTCACCTAAATGCAACACAATTGAAAAGTAAACATCGGTTGTACGTTTACAACTAATTAACTTTTGGACTTAATGTAATCCAAGATGGCCACCACAGCTAATCAATATTTGTCATCACACAATGGCTAGTGAGCTAAAGTTTGATGTGTAGCTGAGAGTTTTCCACAACAAATACTCCAAGTGTGGCGTGACTACGACGCCATCATTTCCCACATTCTTGTATGATGGACACCTGGTGATATGCAGTCCTTCAAGAAGTGCATTTCCTTTTACCATGACACATAATGGTGTCTGCAACAGATCCGTTTCACCGTTGTCAGTATTTCTTACCTGCAGTGTGTCTGTCAGGAAATCTGGAGTCCAGCTCACAGCTCAGCTCTGCACACAGAAGAAGCACAGGATGAGATCAGCAGTGATGAGGCGAAGCAGGTGACCAACAGGACTGACCGTGGCAGCGCCTCTTCAGGTGTGTGATCTCCAGCTGCAGACCAGTCAGCATGACCAGGTGTTCCTGCTTCAGGAAGGTGATCCCCCTCTCAACACTGGCCACCTGCTGCTCCAGCCTCCCTGCATCCATGGTTTCACCTTCACACAGATGTTGGCAGCTGGATGTCAGATAACGTGTCCCACTAGAAGCTTTGACATTACAGGAGTGTGTGTTTTGTGTGTGTGTTTATTGCAAACTGTTTGGCAGAAAATCACGATTAGTTTTTTTTTTTTTCATCACGTGGCTTTTCTCGTTTAATCTAATTCAAAGCCTTTTTTTAATTCTTGCAAAACAATTTAGCTGTGATTTAATCTCCTTCACTGAACGTGGCCTACCGTGAAGTCTTCGTATTGTCCTGGACCGACGTCTGTTTCCTCCTTGATGCAGCTGACAACAAAAACAATCTGCAAAAAGACCCTTGTCTCCTCTCCTCACGTGCTGCAAGATGTTTCACTGCCTGCCTTTTGCAACATGACAATGAATCCTGCAGGAGGAGCGGTATGAGGAAATAACCTCCTCTTCCACCTTGTGCTGCTACGTGCAGTGCGGCGCTGCACCCCCCAACAAAGCAGCTTCTGTATGACGGGTGATTAGTGCCACCGTGCGCATGCAGCATCTTCATGATGGTGCCAATAAGACAGTGACAACTATTTTAATCGACTCCTTCCTAAAGATGATTGGTGCTTGAAAAGAGAATCGCAATGAGAAACTTTGCAATTACGAGTTATCTGCAAATTCTCCATTTCAAAAGCTTCACTATGGGGTTTGTTAAGTTGATTTATCACCTTGGCAACAAGCCAGTTTTGTTTTGAATTGCTTAATTTTTATTGGAAAAGAATGATGTTATTTGGCCTTGCAGCCCAATATTTAAAATGGAAAGGCATGGGGTTTTTCCAGGTCCTCCAGTTTCCTCCCACTGACCAAAAACATGCATGTTAGGCTGATTGGTAACTCTAAATTGTCTCTAGGTGTGAGAGAGTAAATAGTTAGTCTCGTTTGTCTCTATGTGTCCCTGTGATGGACTGGAGACCTGTCCAGGGTGTGGCCCGCATCTCGCACAGTGACTGCTGGATATGGGCACCAGTGACCTCCACCACCCGAAAAGGAAGAAGCGGGTAAAAATAATGGATGGATATTCCCACCATTGCCATTGTGCATGCTCAATGTTCATAATGTGTGATGCATTGTGATGTAGCTATATTCATGCATACTTCAAGTTCTCAAATATCTAATTAAATTGAATAAATTGTTTATATTTGTTACAACTGACTGTGACCTTCTTATTTGAAAAAGTATAAGAAATGATTAGGTTTGATGTTTAAACTTTGTGATCACTTTTTTATCAGCAGTGGAGTGGATCCACTTTTTTTTTTTTTTTGGTCTAATGTCCACAGATTTTAGCTGTGCGTTGTAGCCATTCAGCTACATGGCAACACACACTCAAAAACATTGCACTATCACAACGTAAAATACTAATAAACCAAATTCACAATTACAATTGCATTTAAACTCAATAGATAAGCGAGTGTAAGAGACCAAAACACTACATTTGCATGCTGACTTTGATTATCAAATATATGAATGCGTTTGGAGCGTGGTGCCTGATTTTATGCATGCACATTAGAAACTATAAAAAAGGTCAATGGCAGCTTTTAGACTTTATCCATCCATTATCTTTTACCCACTTCTTACTTACAAATGTCAATTAATGGAAAGGATTTCCCACAGCTACAGAAAAAAAAGTTAAAGATTTCTGAATACACACCTGTAAGAAAACTTTGATTTAAAAGTAGATTAAGAATAATATATGCTATAGCAGTTACCAGGATTGCTAGATGGTGTCTTTGACTTTACCCCCCCCCCCCCCCCAAATCAATTATGGGGAAAAATATATTTTTGCTTTTGTTTTGCACTTCAGCCTGCACTCATTCTGATTCATTTTACCAACACTGGGCACAAATATGACAATGACCTCACAGATACAAGGATGTTTACATACAAGCACAGTTTCCACGGCTGGATGTTTCTCAGAACAAGATGGCTCGTTTAGCTTACGTTAAAGAATCACGTGATCCTTGTTTACCCGAGACCTCAAATGGTAAAATGTTCATTTTCATCACCATCACTCCTGCTCTAAGGGCTCAACAGGGTTTTAATGACAAGCCATTCTTGTAGGTTTGATGTGCACAGTGTGCTGGTGACTCACAGTCCAGGCTCAAACCTCAAACCAGGGATTAACCTGTATAAATAAAGATTGAATGAAACCTCAGACATCAATCGTTTGCGATGATCTTGCCCTAGAATAATTTCTGTACAATCATAAGCACTAACTCCATGCACATCGCTAAAGATAATACATGCAAATTTGCCATCCATCATGCAGAAACGGTCTTGGTGACATCATTGATGAAAATAGATCTTTGGGGGGTACATCTCACTACAACACCAGCGAAATGTACCAAGTCATGTTCGCCCTATAAGTGTGTGTGCAGTCTTATAGTTCTTTATGTCAAGTTGGCATCAGTTTTCAAAATTACGTTGGTTTTATTTACATATATGCACGACACACAAACTAGAGCACACCGTGCTTATTTAGTTTGGGATTAATTCAATTCAGTTTATTTATATAGCACTAAGTCGCAACAGAAGTCATTTCAGGGCACTTCAAGCTTTTTTATTTTGAAAACTTTTTATGCACCATACTCAAATGTGTGACTCACTGTGATATCAGATGCATGCACTTCAACACAAGAATGAAGAAATAAGAATAATCAAAACTGGCAGTAGGCAGCCATGAGGTTTGGCGGACTGTGTTTGTCGAACCTACTGATATTAAGATGTAAACAGTCCTTTGTAATATTGAGGCTGTTAAATTAAAATTGGGTACAAAACCCAGAGTAAAGTTTCTTCTTTAAAAAAAAAAAAATCTTCATTGTTATCCGTTTCCTGTAAAATGACTGACAAGGCTTAGATTTCTCTGATTCCTCTCCTTCTCAGACATGCTGAGGAGGGGAACTGGCTCGCTCCATGCAGAGGTCTGGTAGTACGGACAGACTTTTAGATGAGCAGAAATGGGTGGTGTGTCGGCCATGTGCCACAAATCCACTGCTGAGAACAAATGACTGAACTCCCACACCTGGAGAGAAACGGGATGAAAGTCATGAGGGGAGGAGACATGCAGAAGCAGCTATAGATGATTTAGAAAAACTATCTCACAGGCTTTGCCCTCCATTTGGATCCTCCACGAGAGTCGCTTTTCTTCTCCCAGCGGAGGGTGACCATCCCTCTGTCGTTCAGCAGAGAGGAGCACACCTGCCTCATGAGTCGGGACACCAGGGACAGCTGGGACAGGGACAGACTGTCCAGGAAGCTGGCCATGTGGACTAGCACCTCATAGGGCAGCAAGCTGAGAGAGTCCTCTCCTTCAGCTCCACTTCCACTCTTCTTCTGATCCTTGGAGGAGTCCACAGAACAGTTAGGTGAGCTGCCATCAAGACTGCAGACAGCAAGTGGACGCAAGTTGAAACTCCTCAGTTGCTGACTGTAAGGAAGAAAAGAAATATCTTGTTGCTCTTATTTGAGATGGAAGATACAATGATTTGAATCAATGACTCCTCTGTTGGTTATTTACTATGGAAGCCCATTCCATCCACTCTGGGATAAAAATATTATTTCACTTAATGAGACACCATTTCAAAATTATGCCTTATGCTGTTACATTATTATGCGATGCCAAGTCAAATTATGACGTAGTATCTTATATTTACAACTTAAATGTTTTTAAAATCAAAAGGGGCAGAATTTGACTTCCAAAATTTAACTTGACCCTGTTGTGGAAAGAAAAAAATTCTGAAACAAAAAAACTGACCAGTGTGTATCTGCATCTACTGTATATCTCATCTCTGTCTTTCCCTGAAAGCTGCATTTCTTACATCCTTTTACCAAAATATCCACTGTCCTTTCTCTGGACATGTCTAAACCATCTCAATCAGGCCTCTCTAACTTTATCTCCCAGTTGTTCAACCTGTGCTGTACCTCTGATGATCTCATTCCTAATCTTATCCATCCTTGTCACTCCTAGGAGAACCTCAACATCTTCATTGGTAACAGTTTCTGTTTTAAATGTGCTCTATAAATAAATCTGACTTGACTTGACTTGACTTCATTTCTTCCACTTCCAGTTCTTTCTCCTGTCTTTTTGTCAATGTTACAAAACGACCATACAACATAGTGGTCTTACCACTCCTATAAAACTTTTTCTTTGACCTTTGCCGACACCCTTTTGTCAAAAATCACTCCCGAAACTTTTCTCCTTCCATCCTGCCTGGACTCTCTTCTTCACTTCTTTACCACACTCCCCATTTTCCTGGACAGTGGATCCCAAGTACTTGAAGTCCTGCACCTTTGTGACCTCTGCTCCTTGTAACCTCACTGTTCCACTGGCCTCCCTCTCATTCACACACACATAGTCTGTCTTACTATAGCTGACTTTCATTCACCTTCCTTCAAGTGCATACCTTCACCTCTCTAATTTCTCTTCCACCTGTTCCCACCACAGGTCACAATGTCATCTGCAAACATCATAGTCCATGGGGATTCCTGCCTGACCTCATCTGTTAGTCTGTCCATCACCACAGCAAACAAGTATCTCAGAGCCGATTCTTGATGCAATCCCGCCTCCACCTTGAAGCTATCCATCACTCCTACAGCACATCTCACCACTGCTGTCCTCATACATATCCTGTTCCTGTCTAACATACTTCTCTGGCACTCCAGATTTCCTCAATACCACATCTCCTCCCTCGGCACCCTGCCATATGCTTTTTCTAAATCCACAGACAAGTTCTTTCTGACCTTCTCTGTACTTCTCCATCAGCATTCTCAACGCAAAGATGGCATCTGTGGTGCTCTTTCTTGGCATGAAACCATACTGCTGCTCACAGTCACCTCTCGTCTAAGTCTAACTTCCATAACTCTCTCCCAGATCATCAACATGTGGCTCATCAACTTAATTCCTCTGTAGTTGCTATAACTCTGTACATCACCCTTGTTCTTAAAAATAGGCACCATCACACTTCTCATCTATTCCTCTGTGATTTTTTCCATTCTCAAATGTGCCATTGAATATTTGAATCAAAAACCGCATTGCCATCTCTTTTAGATATTTCCAAACTTCCACTGGCATGTCATCAGGTTCTACTGCCTTTTTCATTCAATTCAGTTTTCCGGACTTCACCTTCATTGTTCTTTCCTACTTCCAGGCCCACAGTTTTTATGACCTTTACTTTTCTTTCACTTTCATTCTCTTCATTCATTAGCTCCTCAAAGGACTCATTCCATCTTCACATCACACCCTTCTCACTTGTTAGGACATTATAATTCATATCTTTAACAAGCCTAACTTCTGCACATCCTTTCCAGCCTGATCCCACTATTTAGCCATTTGACACAAGTTCTTCTCTCCCTTCTTAATGTCCAGCCTCTCATACAAATCATTTTACACCTTTTGTTTTGCCTTTGTTACCTCTCTTTTTGCTCTACATTGCATCCTGTCCACTTTTAGTCTTCTCACTGTCCCATTACTTTATGGCTAACCTTTTCCTCAGAATAACTTCCTGCACTTCACTATTCCACCACCAGATTTTTTTAAATCATCTTTTATCTGTCCAGATGACGCACAAAGTACCTTCCTACCCATCTCTCTAATTACTGTTGCTGTAGTAGCCCAGTCATATGGAAGCTCTTTCTTACCACCCAGAACCTTTAACAGCTCCTCTTTGAACTCCTTACAACATTCTTCCTTCCTCAGCTTCCAGTATTTGGCCTTCTATGTTTTTACTGTTTTTCTCTTCTTCACAGCAACAGTTATTCTACACACAACCATTTGATGTTGTCTGGCTATGGTCTTTCTGTAGTCTGCCTGCATACTCATTCCTCCTCTCTTACATGTCGCGCTATGTTCCCGCTATCTTTTGGAAATAAGTGTTGACTGTAGCCATTTCCATTCTTTTGGCAAAATCCACTACCATCTGTTCCTTCCTGGTTTCCTTCCTTGATACCAAACCTACCCATCACTTCCTCATCCCCTCTGTTTCCTTCTCCAACATTTCCATTAATTCCATTCATCTCCAGTCACCACTCTCTCCTCCCTGGGAATACTCCATCACTTAATCCAGATCCTTCCTAAAATTATTTCTCTTCTTGATGTCACTTCCAACCTGTGGAGCATAACCACTGACAACATTTAACATCAGACATTCTACTTCTATCTTCAGACACATAAAACATCCACCTTCCTTCTCTGCATCATGTAAGTTGGCTCTCTACCTTCGCTTGTCATTGTCCCCACATTTAGAGTTGGCTTGACTTTCCTTCTCTTTATCTCCTGATACGTTTCCCTCCGTGTGGTTTTCAACTAACACTAGCACAATTTTTTCCACAACCTGAGCCCATATGAAGCAGCCCCATTTTTAGGTAAGGTTTAGAGTAAGGGTCAGGGTGAGGACATAGAAATGAAGTGAAAATTAATGTAAGTCAATGCAAAGTCCCTGTAAATTTAGCAAAGCATACTGTGTGTGTGTGTGTGTGTGCGTGCGTGCGTGTGTGTGTACCCCATGTATGCTCACTTGTAGGAGATGGTAGCTTTATGTGTGGAGGGATGAAACCTTGTCTGGCTGTAGGTGCAGCCCAGATATGCCAGGGGACATCTCTGTTCAAACCATCCGCTGAGACTTGTCTGGATGTCATTATGCACATTCCTGGAAAATAATTGGCAGCTCAAACAATCAATTTATGAACCCATCCACCACTTTTTTAAGGTTGTGCATAAATAAAATGGTTGCACTTATGGAATTTCTCCACCACATCTCACAAGTTCTCAGAGGAATATCAGCATTCATCACTTTAATGTTGACGTTAACTGCTCGGACACCTGAAGTGCGTGGCGAACTCCCTGCGATGGAAGGTGTGACCACAGAGGAAGGTGAACACACAGCTCGATCGGTTATTTCTGCTGTTCACACTCTCTGCTTGAAGCTGCAGATGAAGCTTCAGCGGTTTGTCCACCATCACATCTGCCAGGGTCGTCTTTCCTTCAAATGGAGCTGAGAGGAAAAAGTGTGTCTGAGTTCCCTGGTCCACATAGAGCCCATCTGCACCCTTCGACTCACTGATCTGTAGCAGAACAAAGAAAGGTGAATCCTGTTTGGATGAGTTACAACCACTGGCAAAAATTAGGGAATCATCACTCTTGGAGGATACTTTTTAAATGGTTTCATTTTGAATAAAAATTTTGTCACAGATATACCACAATAACAACAAAAAAAAAAAAACGCTGCACGGTGGCGCAACTGGTAGAGCTGCTGCCTCTCAGTAAGCAGGTCTGCGGTTCAAACCCCGGTCCGGGGACCCTTGTGGGTGGAGATTGCATGTTCTCTCTGTGCATGCGTGGGTTTTCTCTGGTTTCCTCCCACAGACCAAAAACATGCATGTTAGACTGATTGGTAACTCTAAATTGTCCCTAGGTGTGTGAGAGAGAGTGAATGGCCATTTGTCTCGTTTGTCTCTATGTGACCCTGTGATGGACTTGCGACCCGTCCAGGGTGTACCCCGCCCCTCGCACAGTGATTGCTGGACCCCCGTGACCCAAAATGGAATAAGCGGGTAAAAGATAATGGATGGATGGATATGCCACAAACTATAATGTTTCAAAATTCCAGTTTGTTGCATCACCTCTGTCCTTTATAAAATATTGGGTTCTCTGAAGAATGGACAGAACTGATGACAATCTACTCTTAATCAATCCGACTGCAACTGTCTTTTATTGCTGTTGCCAGATCAGTTTTGCAGGTTGGAGTCTTGTCGTTGATCGTTTTCTTCAATTTCCAATAGATATTCAATTGGACTGAGATCCGGACCATTTGCAGGCCATGCCATTAAGAAATAGTTTTCTTGAAGGGAAGTATACCGCTCTTTACTCGAAGGAAAGAGCATTATCATTTTGAAAAATAAAGTCATTGTCACCAAACGTCCTTTCAGCAGATGAAGCAAGAAAAGTGTCCAAAATTACTATGTAGACTTTGTCATTTATTGAAGATGTAATGACTCCTACATTTTTTTACTCTAAACCTAAAAATGCATTTGTGACTCACATTTATATTACTTGATGCTTTTATCGTTTCTCAATGCCAGGAAGTTGTAATTTAGAGAAATTATAGTCTTGTGGTGTCTGATTAATATTTTTATACAAACACAATTGAAAGATGATGCAAGAGTGGCGATTCCACAATATTTCCCAGGAGTTGTTCAACTTGAGCCAATGTTTTGTTCAGCATTCTGAAGCAGCCAAGAGCTTCTCATACCCTGTGACCCATGACTGCCATCTCAGCGTAGCCCAGCAGGGTTGTTGCTGCTTCATCAGTGAACCAGTCATCCTCACTGCCACCGAGGTCTGACGTGTCGACGCCTCGGCTTTCGCTCTGCACTCGTGCGGCTGTGTCGTACAGATGAATGCGACGCTTGTAGCGATAACTCTCAGGAACCTTACAGGGAGGAGGATGTGAACATATTTTTGGAGATTAAAACAATAAAAATGAGTACATTTCTTGTAAGTTAATACTGGGCAAGCCTCTTATTTGAAAGAGCAATGGGCTTTTGATCCTTTACCTGCATAAAAAGCATCTCAAAGCCCGTTAAAGTGAGTAACAGAGCAGTTTTTTGGGGGGTTACGCAACTTTTGTCTTTAGTTTCCTGTTTACCTTTCTGACTAGTTTGAAGTTGGGGTTTGGTTGAAAAAACTGTTTTAAGCAGATGTTTAGGCAAAATTTAAGAACAAATAACACTATGACCAAAATGTGGATTTGGTTTAAAGATTAATAGTTTTATTGCTACTTCAGTCAATCAAATTTGATGAAACCACATCATAAAGTTCTCGCTGGGCTGTTAAAAGTTTAATGTTTTAACTTCTATTTAGGGAAAATTTTATTTTTGTTTTTCCCTAAATAAAAAGTGTGGTGTAATATATATTACACAATGAAAACGATGTGGATGTTTCTGGATAAACCTGTGCCTATGATGTAGATTACTGCAACAGGAGGTCAAAACTGCACTGCCAACAAATCATTATGTTGTTATGATTTACCTGTATAAATAAAGGTTGATTGATTATGGGTGAATTTTCAGTTGTTCAAATACTGAACTGAGGTTTGAGCAAAATGTTAATTTTATATATTAGATTTTAACTTCTTTAAAAAAATTGAGCAGCAAATTTGTTTTCCTGCTTTGGAAGGAGATGATGGGGGTAAAAAGAGGAAAGGGACTGGGTAATTTGATGCATTTGAAAACATAAAAAAAAAAAAAAATCATACACCCCAGTATAATGGCAATGTATGAAGTTACATCTAAGCTATTTTAAAAAGGCATGGTTTTGTAGAAATTATTTTAATTACTTCTATATTTGTTAGTCTAATCAATATCAGCAGGATATTTTAATGTAAAAAATATATATAATGTTGAATTCTTCTGGTTTTAAGCTCATTATATTATTAGTAAGTGCTGGTTTAACCCATTACAACTGTGTGTCTGAAATGTTCATTATATTGATTTAAACATCCACCATGAAAAATATTTTTCAAATACACTTTTTATGGCAAAAAATTAAAAAAAGTAAATAAAAATGCTCATCAGAATAGATGTCGGTGCACCTCAGCATCATTTTTTGCATCTCAGGGACTGAATTCGGTTGAAAGGCCTCACCTTGAAAGAGCGCAGCGTCTGTACCGGAATGGGCTCCAGGCTGCCATAAACAAAGTCTCGCTCTCTCGGTGTGCAGGCCTCGATTTGTCCGAAGGCGAGCAGCATGCGTCCGTGGTGCACCATGTACATGTTGTACTCCTGTGGGGTGAGCTCCTGGCCCAGACGCTCCAGAACCCCCTCCTGCCATGGAGCCAGCCCGGTCTTACTCGTGTCAGGCGGAGAGCTGTTATTTGGTGCATCAGAACCGTCGGTCTTCGTACCTTTCTGGTCTTCACACGTTTTGTCCTGCCTCGCACCATCCTTTGAAGCTCCCCCGCTCTGGGTTTGTTCCTTCTCTCCAGCCTTTTGCTTTGAATTTTCCAAGTTTTCCTGAGCGACCGTGCAGGCGCTTTTGTCCATGTTGAACATCATCTCAAACAGATCGAACTTCTCTTTGTTGATGACGGAACCATGCCCTCTGCAGATTGCTGCAGTTTCTTCTGCAGTAACATTTTCACTCACACTCGTTTCAGGGAGGCCTGCAAAATACAAGGGAAAAGATTTTGTTTGCACCATTTTTAAAGGGTTCATATACATTACAAAGAAGATTGCAGTACCTTTTAAAAGTTTTAAGCTAGCCCCAATTCCGTCATATTTTGCCTCTAGTCACATTTTCTTGTAGTCAATGTTGACTGACAGTTTTGCAGACTTTCTGTAGCTAATAATTTACTATACATCAAGTTTTCAGTTAATAGCTCTCTGGGACTCGCATAAAATTAAATATTCTGTCTGTTAACTGTTATTGTTGGTATTTTTTTCACTGAATTAATAAAAAGCAACCGAACTGAATTTGTAACAGATGAATAAAAAAACCCTAAAGATCCAATTTACCAGTTCATTTGTTATGCATTGACACAACACCGATTCATTTCTTGAATTTAGGAGCCTACTTGTGTTTAAATGTTCACAGGTCTGAATTAAGAGGCTTAAACAAAAAATAAACACACTGTTGAATAGATTAATGGACAGAAAACTTGTGAAAAGGCAGCCAAAGTAAAATCTAAAAAAACAAACAACAACCTTGAATCTGAAAATCAGTTGATCAAGCAATTATTACCAGAAAGTCTGTTTACTTGAAAGCACAAATTTATATTTATAGATTTACTTTATAACTTATTCATGCTTACACACAAAATAAAAGGCTTAATAAAGTCAAAAAGAGGTTATAGTAAAGAATTTAACCCCAGTAATACTCTTTGCTTTATCTAAAATGACTTAATCTCAAAAAGCAATAAAAGTTAACATTTTTCAGAACAAATATGCAAGAATCATCTTAAAATTACCTTCAGAGGTCAGTCAGTATACATCTGCATAAAAAACAATTCAAGATGGCTCAACACTGTTTTCAGGTTTTCAGACATTTGATTTGATTTTACAAAAGGGGTGACATGGTGGCTCAGCGAGAAGGTTGCTGGATTGAATCCCAGCTAGGGACCTTTCTGGGTAGAGTTTGCATGTTCTCTCCGTGCATGTGTGGGTTTTCTCCGGGTACTCCAGTTTCCTCCCACAGATTAAAAACATGCATGTTAGTCTGATTGGTAACTCTAAATTGTCTCTAGGTGTGAGTGAGAGAGTGAATGGTTGTTTGTCTCGTTTGTCTCTATGTGTCCCTGTGATGGACTGGAGACCTGTCCAGGGTGTCCCTCGCCTCTTGCACAGTGACTGCTGGATATGGGCACCAGTGACCCCCACCCCACCACGACCCAAAAAAGGAAGAAGCAAGTAAAAATGATGGATGGATGGATTTTACAGACTGTGACTAACCTTCAGTTGGATTTCTGTCCTGAACAGCATTTGCAAGTCCTCCAACTGCTGCTTCGTCCTTCATTTCCTCTTTTATTTCCTCTTCCTCCTCCATCAGTTCTGGATAGACCAGCTTCATTTTGAGTCGTTTGTAAAGATCTGACTGATCAGCAAGAGCCATGGCAACATCTAAAGCCTCCTTCTTAGCTTCACTTTCCTTCAGAACGTTGTCCTGCAGGGCAATATATTCGTGAGGGTTTGTGTCATCAATGGGCCAGCGGAGCCACTCCATGGAGCAGCACACCACGCTGGCCGGACACACCTGGAGGTGAGCAGCCTGTGAGGAGCGGGGCAGCTGGACCGGGCAGCCGTACTCAGCGTTGAGGCAGGGCACCCTCACATTGGGGCAGAGCAGCAGGTGGTCCTCCTCTTTGCACA